GTAGGTGTGTGTTTTTAACTACTTACATACAATCTGTTATGTTCTGAAGTTACTTGTAGTTTTGTGTTTTATACTGTTTATGTACAATCTTGTGTGTTTTTAAGTAGTATATAGTTGTGTTTTAATACTGGTATGTACAAATTGCCATATTTTAAAATAAATTTTTGTAGTTTTTAGTTTATATTTTATATGAACACATTGCATTAATTTTGAATAAACTTGGAGCTGTGTGTTTCATAGATTAGATTTACAACCTATCATGTTACTAAGTTACTTGAAGTTGTGTGTTTTATACTGTTTTACTGTTGTTTATTTTGAAGTAACTTGTAGTTTAATACTGTTTTAATGTGCTTCACTTTGAAGTAACTTGTAGTTTCATACTGTTTTACTGTGCTTTATTTTGAAGTAATGTGTAATTTTATAATGTTTTACTGTGCTTTATTTTGTAGTAGCTTGTAGTTTAATACTGTTTTACTGTGCTTTATTTTGATTTATGTAACTTGTAGTCTTATACTATTTTACTGTGGTTTATTTCTTTTTTTAGAAGTAACTTGTAGTTTTATACAGTTATACAGATCTTTATTTCTTTATTTTGAAGTAACTTGTAGTTTTATACTGTTTTACTGTGCTTTATTTTGAAGTAGCTTGTAGTTTAATACTGTTTTACGGTGCTTTATTTTGAAGTAGCTTGTAGTTTAATACTGTTTTACTGTGATTTATTTCTTTATTTAGAAGTAACTTGTAGTGTTATACTGTTATACAGATCTTTATTTCTTTATTTTGAAGTAACTTGTAGTTTTATACTGTTTTACTGTGCTTCATTTTGAAGTAGCTTGTAGTTTAATACTGTTTTACTGTGCTTTTTTCTTAAGTAACTTGTAGTTTAATACTGTTTTACTGTGCTTTATTTTGAAGCAACTTGTAGTTTTATACTATTTTACTGTGATTTATTTCTTTATTTAGAAGTAACTTGTAGTTTTGTACTGTTTTATTGTGCTTAATTTAGAAGTAACTTGTAGTTTTATACTGTTTCATTGTGCTTTATTTTGAAGTAATGTGTAGTTTTATACTGTTTTACTGTTGTTTATTTTGAAGTAACTTGTAGTTTAATACTGTTTTAATGTGCTTCACTTTGAAGTAACTTGTTATTTCATACTGTTTTACTGTGCTTTATTTTGAAGTAATGTGTAATTTTATAATGTTTTACTGTGCTTTATTTTGTAGTAGCTTGTAGTTTAATACTGTTTTACTGTGCTTTATTTTGATTTATGTAACTTGTAGTCTTATACTATTTTACTGTGGTTTATTTCTTTTTTTAGAAGTAACTTGTAGTTTTATATTGTTATACAGATCTTTATTTCTTTATTTTGAAGTAACAAGTAGTTTTATACTGTTTTACTGTGCTTCATTTTGAAGTAGCTTGTAGTTTAATACTGTTTTACTGTGCTTTATTTTGAAGCAACTTGTAGTTTTATACTATTTTACTGTGATTTATTTCTTTATTTAGAAGTAACTTGTAGTTTTGTACTGTTTTATTGTGCTTAATTTAGAAGTAACTTGTAGTTTTATACTGTTTCATTGTGCTTTATTTTGAAGTAACTTGTAGTTTAATACTGGTTCACTGTGCTTTATTTTGAAGTAATGTGTACTTTTATATTGTTTTACTGTGATTTATTTAGAAGTAACTTCTAGTTTTATACTGTTTCATTGTGCTTCATTTTGAACTAACTTTTAGTTTTATACTATTTTACTGTGTTTTATTTCTTTATTTAGAAATAACTTGTAGTTTTATACTGTTTTACTGTGCTTCATTTTGAAGTAGCTTGTAGTTTAATTCTGTTTTACTGTGCTTTATTTTGAAGAATTAAACTTGTAGTTTTATACTGTCATACTGTGCTTCATTTTGAAGTAGCTTGTAGTTTAATACTGTTTCACTGTGCTTTTTTCTTAAGTAACTTGTAGTTTAATACTGTTTTACTGTGCTTTATTTTGAAGTAACTTGTAGTTTTATACTATTTTACTGTGATTTATTTCTTTATTTAGAAGTAACTTGTAGTTTTGTACTGTTTAATTGTGCTTTATTTTGAAGTAACTTGTAGTTTTATACTGTTTTACTGTGCTTTATTTTGAAGTAACTTGTACTTTTATATTGTTTTACTGTGATTTATTTAGAAGTAACTTGTAGTTTTATACTGTGCTTCATTTTGAAGTAATGTTTAGTTTCATACTGTTATCCTGTGCTTTATTTAGAGTAACTTGTAGTTTTATTCTGTTTTAATGTGCTTTATTTTGAAGTAACTTGTAGTTTTATACTGTTTCACTGTGATTTATTTAGAAGTAACTTCTAGTTTTATACTGTTATACTGTGCTTTATTTTGAAGTAACGTTTAGTTTTATACTGTTTTACTGTGCTTTATTTTGAAGTAACTTGTTGTTTTATACTGTTTCACTGTGCTTTATTTTGAAGTGAGGTGTAGTTTTATACCGTTTTACTGTGATTTATTTCGAAGTAACTTCTAGTTTTATACTGTCATACTGTGCTTTATTTTGAAGTAAATTGTAGTTTCATACTGTTTCACTGTGCTATATTTTGAAGTAACTTGTAGTTCTATACTGTTTTACTGTGCTTTATTTTGAAGTAACTTGTTGTTTTATACTGTTTTACTGTGCTTTATTTTGAAGTAAGGTGTAGTTTTATACATTTAATGTCATCATTATATTGTTGTTATTACATGTAATTGTCATGCCTTTGGCCCTCTTGTGGGTGTAATTTGTGCTTTAATAAATATTTATACTGTGCTTCATTTTGAAGTAATGTTTAGTTTCATACTGTTATCCTGTGCTTTATTTTGAAGTAACTTGTAGTTTTATTCTGTTTTAATGTGCTTTATTTTGAAGTAACTTGTAGTTTTATACTGTTTCACTGTGCTTTTTTTTGAAGTAACTTGTAGTTTTATACTGTTTTACTGTGCTTTATTTTGAAGTAACTTGTTGTTTTATACTGTTTAACTGTGCTTTATTTTGAAGTAACTTGTAGTTTTATACTGTTTCATTGTGCTTCATTTTGAACTAAAATGTAGTTTTATTCTGTTTAAATGTTCTTTATTTTGAAGTAACTTGTAGTTTATTACTGTTTCACTGTGCTTTATTTTGAACTAACTTGTAGTTTTATACTGTTTTACTGTGCTTTATTTTGAAGTAACTTGTAGTTTCATACTGTTATACTGTGCTTCATTTTGAACTAACTTGTAGTTTTATACTGTTTCACTGTGCTTTATTTTGAAGTAAGGTGTAGTTTTATACCGTTTTACTGTGATTTATTTAGAAGTAACTTCTAGTTTTATACTGTCATACTGTGCTTCATTTTGAAGTAATGTTTAGTTTCATACTGTTATACTGTGCTTTATTTTGAAGTAACTTGTTGTTTTATACTGTTTCACTGTGCTTTATTTTGAAGTAACTTGTTGTTTTATACTGTTTCACTGTGCTTCATTTTGAAGTAACGTTTAGTTTTATACTGTTTTACTGTGCTTTATTTAGAAGTAACTTGTAGTTCTCTACTGTTTTACTGTGCTTTATTTAGAAGTAAGGTGTAGTTTTATACTGTTTTATTGTGCTTTATTTTGAAGAAACTTGTAGTTCTATACTGTTTTACTGTGCTTTATTTTGAAGTAACTTGTTGTTTTATACTGTTTTACTGTGCTTTATTTTGAAGTAAGGTGTAGTTTTATACATTTAATGTCATCATTATATTGTTGTTATTACATGTAATTGTCATGCCTTTGGCCCTCTTGTGGGTGTAATTTGTGCTTTAATAAATATTTATACTGTGCTTCATTTTGAAGTAATGTTTAGTTTCATACTGTTATCCTGTGCTTTATTTAGAAGTAACTTGTAGTTTTATTCTGTTTTAATGTGCTTTATTTTGAAGTAACTTGTAGTTTAATACTGTTTTACTGTGCTTCATTTTGAACTTACTTGTAGTTTAATACTGTTTTACTGTGCTTTATTTTGAACTAACTTGTAGTTTAATACTGTTTTACTGTGCTTCATTTTGAACTAACTTGTAGTTTAATACTGTTTCATTGTGCTTCATTTTGAACTAACTTGTAGTTTTATACTGTTTTACTGTGATTTATTTCTTTATTTGGAAGTAACTTGTAGTTTTATACTGTTTTACTGTGCTTTATTTTGAAGTAACTTGTTGTTTTATACTGTTTCACTGTGCTTCATTTTGAAGTAACGTTTAGTTTTATACTGTTTTACTGTGCTTTATTTAGAAGTAACTTGTAGTTCTCTACTGTTTTACTGTGCTTTATTTAGAAGTAAGGTGTAGTTTTATACTGTTTTATTGTGCTTTATTTAGAAGTAACTTGTAGTTCTTTACTGTTTTACTGTGCTTCATTTAGAAGTAACTTGTAGTTTTATACTGTTTTACTGTGCTTTATTTTGAAGTAACTTGTTGTTTTATACTGTTTCACTGTGCTTCATTTTGAAGTAATGTTTAGTTTCATACTGTTATACTGTGCTTTATTTAGAAGTAACTTGTAGTTTATTACTGTTTTACTGTGCTTCATTTAGAAGTAACTTGTAGTTTTATACTGTTTTACTGTGATTTATTTAGAAGTAACTTCTAGTTTTATACTGTTATCCTGTGCTTTATTTAGAAGTAACTTGTAGTTTAATACTGTTTTACTGTGCTTCATTTTGAACTAACTTGTAGTTTAATACTGTTTTACTGTGCTTTATTTTGAACTAACTTGTAGTTTAATACTGTTTTACTGTGCTTCATTTTGAACTAACTTGTAGTTTAATACTGTTTCATTGTGCTTCATTTTGAACTAACTTGTAGTTTTATACTGTTTTACTGTGATTTATTTTAAAGTAACATGTAGTTTTGTTATCCTTATTGTACATGTACCATAAGACGACGTATCTTAAAATGATTTTTCTATGAAGTATTAAATTAAAGTAGTTTTGAATGTGACTATTATACTTACATCTTGATAATCAATGTTTGCATCATTCTGTAGACTTAATTTTAAGGCTTCTATATCTCCAGTCTCAGCAGCTGTAATAAGTTTCTGTAAGTAAATCATAGAAATAGATTGTAATGAATGTCCTTACTGTTAAATTAGGTAATAATTATATATTCTTCTGTATAGCAATGACTACATAAATCAGTAGTATCCTTCCTTAATAAAACATTCAGACAGAGAGGAAATATTTAAATAGCATTTAATTGTTGGAATTTATGCATTTTATATTATCAAGATAAACAAAAGTTGTTAACCTTTGAGAAATATTTTTTAATAGAATCATGGACTAGATTTGGCATATCCTTGATTATTCTTTCGTGAAGTGTTTTCTGCATTTTGACTTCTGTCCTTTTTTAAGACATGTAGTTGTGTTTTTCATTCACTTAGTCCTTTAATTGCCCCTAGGTACTTTCTCATCCTTTTTTATATTAGATAGTAGAAATCTCTCTTTACTTACTTAAAGAGAAAATTATATAAATGTATGTAGACTGAATAAATGTAGATGTGGGTTATAATAAAGTAATGAGACGGTAACCTAACAACAACAAAAAATTTTGGATTAAAATGATGTGTTGAATCAGTTGGCACTTTATACCATAAAATAGATATGTCTTATTCAACTCACATGAACTTAACAATGGCAAGGGGAGAGAACTTCTGTATTTTTTTTATTTAGTAAAATTGTCCAATATTTTTTCTAATAACACTATAGACTTATGAATTACATAATTGACATTTTAAACAAGGGTTCTGAAGGTACTTCATAATTAATACACTGTCTACTACTGGAAAGAACTTTACAGAGTATACACTCATATTTGAAAAATATTTGATAAATTTCTTACTGAAAAAACTTTAAATTGCATTTTTGTTTGTCATCAGTTACTCAATACAGATTCAAATGCTTTTTGTGTAACTAAACTGCCACTCAGTATTGTATGATAATAAGCATAGCACTCCCGTGTAAGTTATTGACACCCTAACCTCAGAGGATATATATTAAAGTTACTAGGAGATCTGCATGTGTGCAAGTGTCAACTGTGTAATGAGTACAAGATAAGACAATTAATTAAGTGTCATCTGTCTTATGAGAAGACGATAAGACAAGTAAGTGTCACCCGTGTTATGAGTAGAAGATAAGATGATCAAGTGTCACCCTAGTAATGAGTAGAAGATAAGACAATTAAGTATCACCTGTGTAATGAGTAGAAGATAAGACAATCAAGTTTCACCCATGTAATGAGTAGATGTTAAGACGATCAAGTGTCACCCATGTAATGAGTAGAAGATAAGACAATCTAGTGTCACCCTCGTAATGAGTAGAAGATAAGACAATTAAGTGTCACCTGTGTAATGAGTAGAAGATAAGACAATCAAGTGTCACCCATGTAATGAGTAGAAGATAAGACAATCTAGTGTCACCCTCGTAATGAGTAGAAGATAAGACAAGTAAGTGTCACCTGTGTTATGAGTAGAAAAGACGAGTAAGTGTCACCCATGTAATGAGTAGAAGGTAAGACGATCAAGTGCCACCCATGTAATGTGTAGACGAGAACACAATTGAGATGATCTCTGCTATTAGTTATTAGCCACACCTAAGTTTGTCAAATGTTTTGAGTGCACCCTGCTTTGTCCCAGTTTTGAATTTTTTGTTTGATCTGTGTTCTTGGAATAAGTAGTTTTGTAGTTCACCTAGTATTCTACTAGTTTTTATCTGAAATTAACACATATTTGTATCTAATTGTACAATAATGGGGAACAAAACCACACATGACAAGGAGACTATTAAGTAAATTTTACCTCATTCCAATCCTCCATTATATCCTAAAAATAGAAAAGTTATATTCAATATATAATGTTGAGTTATCATTGAGGTACATGTATTATAGTTACTGCCAATAAAAAATACATGATCATTATTGGATGTAAAATACTGACCTAATATTTTTAGATTTCATTCAAATAATAATAGCATTGAAACAGTCTTTTATCTCAACTTTTCTGCACTATTTGAAGTTAATGAACTGAACTCAAAACCTTTAAGATCTAATCACATACCTAAATGAGGTACAAATGTATTCTACAAGCAGGGTGTGACTCTTTCCATCGAACGCCAGAACATCTATTGCACTTTCCCAGACCTAAGAATTTCAAAAGTTTTATTTACTAGCTTTTAGACACACATGAAAAACAATATCAAATATCAAGTAACAGTTTCTTAAAACACTGTCCATAATCAACTAGAACTGTCAAATTAAATTCAATTGTTTTTTTTATTCTTTATGTGCCTGTCCACAGACAGGACCTATAACATAGTGGATGTAGTTAGTTGTGTACCATATTTGTTTTTCCTTCATTGTTTTTTTCGGCTGTGGATTTTTTCTTTTGAAATGTTTCACATTTTATCATTCCAAGGCTATTTATAGATGATTATATGGTATGGGTTTTGCTCATTGTTGAAGGCTGTTGGACGACCTGTAATTGTTTATAACGTTGTCCTATGGTCTAGGAATAGTTGTATCATTGTTAATCATACCACACCTCCTTATTATCATATGGTATGGGTTTTGCTCATTGTTGAAGGCTGTTGGACGACCTGTAATTGTTTATATCTTTGTCCTATGGTCTAGGAATAATGGTATCATTGTTAATCATACCACACCTCCTTATTATCATATGGCATGGGTTTTGCTCATTGTTGAAGGCTGTTGGACGGCCTGTAATTGTTTATATCTTTGTCCTATGGTCTAGGAATAATTGTATCATTGTTAATCATACCACCTCTCCTAATTATCATATGGTATGGGTTTTGCTCCTTGTTGAAGGCTGTTGGACGACCTGTAATTGTTTATATCTTTGTCCTTTGGTCTAAAAATAATTGTATCATTAAAATTGAGAATGGAAATGGGGAATGTGTCAAAGAGACAACAACCCGACCATAGAACAGACAACAGCAGAAGGTCACCAACAGGTCTTCAATGCAGCGAGAAATTCCCGCACCCGGAGGCGTCCTTCAGCTGGCCCCTAAACAAATATATATACTAGTTCAGTGATAATGAACGCCATACTAAACTCCAAATTGTACACAAGAAACTAAAATTAAAAATAATACAAGACTGACAAAGGCTAGAGGCTCCTGACTTAGGACAGGCGCAAAAATGCGGCGGGGTTAAACATGTTTATGAGATCTCAACCCTCCCCCTATACCTCTAGCCAATGTAGAAAAGTAAACGCATAACAATACGCACATTAAAATTCAGTTCAAGAGAAGTCCGAGTCTGATGTCAGAAGATGTAACCAAAGAAAATAAACAAAATGACAATAATACATAAATAACAACAGACTACTAGCAGTTAACTGACATGCCAGCTCCAGACTTCAATTAAACTGATTGAAAGATTATGTCTTCATCATATGAATATCAGGCACAATCCTTCCCGTTGTTAATCTAACCACACTTCCTTATGGTTATATGGTATGGGTTTTGCTCATTGTTGAAGGTGAAGGCTGTTGGACGACCTGTCATTGTTTATATCTTTGCCCTATGGTCTAAAAATAATTGTATCATTGTTTATCTAACCACACTTCCTTATGATTATATGGTATTGGTTTTTCTTATTGTTGAAGGCTGTTGGATAACCTGTCATTGTTTATATCTTTGTCCTATGGTCTAGGAATAATTGTATCATTGTTTATCATACCACACCTCCTAATTTTTATACAATAAAATTATCTAATGATCACAGATACCCCTCTCCCTCTTAACATACTTAATGTACTTACAGGATTGAAGCTTGAAATTCTTTCTATTAGTAAGTTTTACAATTTGCTTAAAAATATGTTAAGTCCTGGACCATTTCAATTTTCAAGAGAAAAGCCCTCCTCAAGAAATTCAATGGTCCTGAAATAAGTACTAACGTAACGGACTGTAGGCCATGGACCTTTGTTTTCCAAAATTCAAAGATTCTCTCACAGAAATGAAAGGTCCCTGACCGTTGGGCCCACACTAATTTAAAACTATGAAAAGTAAAGTAAGAATAATGTAATGGTGTGTTATATTGTAATGGTTATACATTATAATGTAATGGTGTGTTATATTGTAATGGTTATACATTATAATGTTATGATGTGTTATATTGTAATGGATATACATTATAATGTAATGGTGTGTTATACTGTAATGGTTATACATTATAATGCAATGGTGTGTTATATTGTGATGGCGTGTTATATTGTAATGGTTATACATTATATTGTAATGGTGTGTTATATTGTAATGGTTATACATTATAATGTAATGGTGTGTTATATTGTAATGGTTATACATTATAATGTAATGGTGTGTTATACTGTAATGGTTATACATTATAATGTAATGGTGTGTTCTATTGTAATGGTTATACATTATAATGTAATGGTGTGTTCTACTGTAATGGTTATACATTATAATGTAATGGTGTGTTCTACTGTAATAGTTATACATTATATTGTAATGGTGTGTTATATTGTAATGGTTATACATTATATTGTAATGGTGTGTTATATTGTAATGGTTATACAATATAATGTAATGGTGTGTTATATTGTAATAGTTATACATTATAATGTAATGGTGTGTTATATTGTAATGGTTATACATTATAATGTAATGGTGTGTTATATTGTAATGGTTATACATTATATTGTAATGGTGAATTATATTCCTATATTTTAGTTTGTTGCTTAGTCCTTAACTAAAAGCTCTTTTCAAAAATGGCACTAGCCTATGCTGTGGGACCATAACTTCAAACAAGACAAATAGACCTGTGTCGCTGCATGCAATTGATTGAGTAACATATTTACTGAAGCATTAATGATCATTCCATAAAATCATAAGAGCCAAGAAACTTTCATGAAAATTATCTTTGTACAATGAGTGTTGTAAAATTTCAAACTACTGGCAAACAGGAAGAAGCTGCACAGCCGAAACAAAAATTGCTAACACGCTACAACTCAAAATTATCAAGCTGTTCATCAAATATAAAATCATTCCCTTCCATAGAAGCAAAGAAAAGTTCAAAGAAATTTTCATTGTACAATGAGTGTTGTATAATTTCAAACTATCGGCAAACAGGAAGTGACTGCATGGCAGATGTGAAAACTGCTTACAGTCTGTATTGATTTACCTCATTTTGGAGAAGCAGCAAATATTAATTTTCAAGTCTTTGGTATAGATGTCCAGGGTTCAAACCCACCACCTCCCACACTAATGGTGAACACAATACTACAACACCATACAGATCAACGAGGTGGTTTTTATGAATTGATTTTTTTTTTTATGTAACCTTAAATAATCTGTTATCACAGAGATATGTCTCGCCTTTTTGTAATTTTGATAATGCAAATGTTGAAATTAAAATAGCAATACTTTAACATGTAAGTTATGCAAATATTCGTCGATGAACCATGACTGAAGGTACATGGTTAAAATAATCTCCATGGAAATGAGATGTGCCAATGCTAATATAAATGCATACCAAATACCATTGACTTATTATAAGTTGTTCCCTTTAAACTAACCTAAACACAAACATTAACTTGCAAACTATGTAAAAGTCTCAAAGTCAATGAACCATGATGAGGGGGTGGGGCTATATAATCTCCATGGATACGATACTTGCAAATGCCAATAAATTTGCATACCAAATATCATTGATTTAACATTAGCAGTTCATCTTAAACTGATCTAATCATAAAATAATACATGTAAACTAAGCAAAAGTTTCAAAGTCAATAGACCATGACTAAGGGGGCGGAGCCAGATAATCTCCATGGAAATGAGATGTGCCAATGCTAATACAACTGCATACCAAATATCATTGACCTACCACTAGTGGTTCCCCTTAAAATGATCTAATCACAAACTACTACATGTAAATTAAGCAAAAGTTTTAAAGTCAATAGACCATGACTGAGGGGGCAGAGCCAAATAATCTCCATGGTAATGAAATGTGCCAATGCTAATACAACTGCATACCAAATATCATTGCACTACCACTTATGGTTCACCATAAACTAGACCTAATCACAAACTAATACATTGTTGACACCGCCGACGCCGACAACAGCATACCTATGTCTCGCTTTTTGTCTCCGTCAAGTCGAGACAAAAACATATTATACGATACATACTAATTAAATACTGATGAATGTACCTCTGAGGTCAGCCCAATTTATAAGTAAGGTTGTGTCGTCATCTAAAGTGTCTGTGAAAAATAACTATGAATCATATTTACTTGTTTAAGCCTGATAAAATATATATGTATCACATAAAAATACTTCATTGGTACTTCTTTTTATAGTTAACTGTTACGAAAGTTTCTTATAAACATATCAATGTTTGTGTTATCTCCCTGTTTTTTATAAACACATCAATGTTTGTGGGTTATCTCCCGCTATAAACATATCAATGTTTGTGTTATCTCCCTGTTTCTTATAAACATATCAATGTTTGTGTGTTATCTCTCTGTATAAATATATCAATGTTTGTGGCTATCTCCCGCTATAAACATATCAATGTTTGTGTTATCTCCCTGTAAAAACATATCAATGTTTGTGTTATCTCCCTGTTTCTTATAAACATATCAATGTTTGTGTGTTATCTCTCTGTATAAACATATCAATGTTTGTGGGTTATCTCCCGCTTTAAACATATCAATGTTTGTGTTATCTCCCTGTTTCTTATAAACATATCAATGTTTGTGTTATCTCCCTGTTTCTTATAAACATATCAATGTTTGTGTGTTATCTCCCTGTTCCTTATAAACATATCAATGTTTGTGTGTTATCTCCCTGTTCCTTATAAACATATCAATGTTTGTGTGTTATCTCCCTGTTTCTTATAAACATATCAATGTTTGTGTGTTATCTCCCTGTTAAAACACATCAATGTTTGTGTTATCTCCCTGTATAAACATATCAATGTTTGTTTTATCTCCGTTTCTTATAAACATATCAATGTTTGTGTTATCTCCCTGTTTCTTATAAACATATCAATGATTGTGTGTTGTCCCCTTGTATAAACATATCTATGTTTGTGTTATCTCCCTGCTTCTTATAAACATATCAATGTTTGTGTGTTATCTCCCTGTTCCTTTGTTAGTCTTTTCGTTTGAATTGTTTTACATTTTTCATTTCGGGGCTTTTTATAGCTGACTATGCGGTGTGAGTTTTGCTCATTGTCATAAGCCGTACGGTGACATATAGTTTTGTTAACTTCTATGTCATTTGGTCTCTGGTGGAGAGTTGTCTCATTGGCAATCAAACCACATCTTATTATTTTTATATTTTAAGTTTACTGTAGACAAAGATTTTATCAATCAACATTACTACAGGTTAACAGGATAATCGGTCGAAAGATTATCCGACTAACCGGTTAGACAAAACTGTTTACTTTGACAAAACTAATTTATATATATATATTTTAGATAGATTAGATTAGAGATAACTGTATTGTATTTGAAGCTGTGCAGACGTCCATTGGTAGTTTTACTGTCGCAAATTGAGTTTCCTGGAAACGCGTAGCGGAGATCGTTGTCTCATTGGCAATCATACCACATCTCCTTATTTTTACTTTGGCCGATAGTTCTCATTGGCAATCATACCACACCTCCTTATTTTTACTTTGGCTGATAGTTGTCTCATTGGCAATCATACCACACATCTCTTTTATTTTTACTTTGGCCGATAGTTGTCTCATTGGCTATCATACCACATCTCCTTATTTTTACTTTGGTGGATAGTTCTCATTGGCAATCAAACCACATCTCCTTAGTTTTACTGTCGCAAATTGAGTTTCCCTGGAAACGCGTAGAAGAGATAGTTGTCTCATTGGCAATCATACCACATCTCCTTATTTTTACTCTGGCGGATAGTTCTCATTGGCAATCATACCACTCCTCCTTTTTTTTCCTTTGGCGGATAGTTGTCTCATTGGCAATCATACCACATCTCTTTATTTTTACTTTGGCAGATAATTCTTATTGGCAATCATACCACATCTCCTTATTTTTACTTTGCAAAATAGTTGCCTCACTGGCAATCATACCACATCTATTTATCTTTACTTTGGCGGATAGTTCTCATTGGCAATCATACCACCTCTCTTTATACTTTGGTGGATAGTTGTCTCATTGGCAATCATACCACCTCTCTTTATACTTTGGGGGATAGTTGTTTCATTTGCAATCATACCTACATCTCCTTATTTTTATATCAATGATAATACCAACTAACAAATACTAAACAGTCAGAGCTCCGACATAAACAAGTTGATTTTTGTTTTTGACTTGCATAAGTCAAAAAATGTATTTATTATAAAAATGAACTTTCATTTTCAGACTTATTTAAGTCAGAAAATGACAGACTTGTTTAGGTCTATTTATGTTTATGAAAAGACTTAATTTTAATCGGTAGCCAAACTGCACCACCTATGACATCCTAAGCCTGTCTGAGAGTTCACAAGGACCTGAGCTATCCATAATTAATTATCTAATTGAACTTTTTTACTTAACATAGATTATTTTCCTCATTTTGTGTGATTACAGATGGTTGTATTGTAAAGTTTATAAACATATCTCCGTTTTTTTAGGCTCTCATGCATATTTTTCCTTAGAAGACAAAGCATTGTCTTTCAAAGTTGTCATAATTTCAAGTAGATGCATGACCTTTTTATAAATATGCTTGGGTCTTGAAGTTTACCAATTTTGGTAACTTATTGACTTGTAGGAGTCAATATTTGCAACTTTTTAATACTTGTCAAATATTTCTTGCTTAAACACTAATTGACTTATTGAAGTCATAATTTGTCTTAAATTAAAGGGAGATAAATCTTGAAACCTTCAAATTTAGACCTCAATGAGTCAAAAGCAGATTTAGACTTATTTATGTCTGAGCTCTGACTGCTAAAAACATTGCATTTATACAATTTTCACAGATTTGTAAAATATGTAAAATCATACAACATCTCCTTATTTTTAATTTGGCGGATAGTTCTCATTGACCATGTTGACAATCATACCACATCTCCTTATTTTTACTTTGGAAGATAGTTGTCTCATAGGTAATTATACCACATCTCCTTATTTTTACTACGGTAGATCTTCTTATTTTTACTTTGGCGGATAGTTCTCATTGGCAATCATACCACATCTCATTATTTTTAATTTGGCGGATAGTTCTCATTGACCATGTTGACAATCATACCACATCTCCTTATTTTTACTTTGGAAGATAGTTGTCTCATAGGTAATTATACCACATCTCCTTATTTTTACTACAGTATATCTTCTTATTTTGACTTTGGCGGATAGTTCTCATTGGCAATCATACCACATCTCCTTATTTTTACTTTGGAAGATAGTTGTCTCATAGGTAATTATACCACATCTCCTTATTTTTACTACAGTAGATCTTCTTATTTTTACTTTCGCGGATAGTTCTCATTGGCAATCATACCACATCTCCTTATTTTTACTTTGGAAGATAGTTGTCTCATTGGCAATTACTAGTATACCACATCTCCTTAATTTTACTTTGGCGGATAGTTGTCTCATTGGCAACATACCACATCTCCTTATTTTTACTCTGGTGAATTGTTCTCATTGGCAATCATATCACATCTCCTTATTTTTACTTTGGAAGATTGTTGTCTCATTGGCAAATACACCACATCTCCTTATTTTTCCTATAGCAGATCTTCTTATTTTTACTTTGGAAGATAGTTGTCTCATTGGCAATCATACCACACCTCCTTTTTTTTCCATTGGCGGATAGTTGTCTCATTGGCAATCATACCACATCTCTTTATTTTTACTTTGGCAGATAATTCTTATTGGCAATCATACCACATCTCCTTATTTTTACTTTGCAAAATAGTTGTCTCACTGGCAATCATACCACATCTATTTATTTTTACTTTGGCGGATAGTTCTCATTGGCAATCATACCACCTCTCTTTATACTTTGGCGGATAGTTGTCTCATTGGCAATCATACCACCTCTCTTTATACTTTGGCGGATAGTTGTCTCATTGGCAATCATACCACCTCTCTTTATACTTTGGTGGATAGTTGTCTCATTGGCAATCATACCACCTCTCTTTATACTTTGGCGGATAGTTCTCATTGGCAATCATACCACCTCTCTTTATACTTTGGTGGATAGTTGTCTCATTGGCAATCATACCACCTCTCTTTATACTTTGGCGGATAGTTGTCTCATTTGCAATCATACCTACATCTCCTTATTTTTATATCAATAATAATACCAACTAACAAATACTAAACAGTCAGAGCTCCGACATAAACAAGTTGATTTTTGTTTTTGACTTGCATAAGTCAAAAAATGTATTTATTATAACAAGAGTGCACACGCTGAAATGTCTCGCCTTCTTTACTAATCATTGATATTATGTTGATAGTCCTAAATATAAAGCTTTATTACAACTGTCACATAAACTTAACATTAACCAAGTAAACTAAACATTGACCAATGAACCATGAAAATGAGGTCAAGGTCAGATGAACCATGCTAGGCAGGCATGTACAGCTAACAATTCTTCCATACAACAAATATAGTTGACCTATTGCTTATAGTTTAAGAAAAACAGACCAAAACACAAAAACTTAACACTGAGCAATGAACCTTGAAAATGAGGTCAAGGTCAAATAAAACCTGCGTGACTGACATATAGATCATAAAATATTTCCATACACCAAATATAGTTGAACTATTGCATATAGTATTAGAAAAAAAGACCAAAACTCAAAAACTTAACTTTGACCACTGAACCATGAAAATGAGGTCAAGGTAAGATGACACCTGCCAGCTAGACATGTACACCTTACAATCATTCCATACACCAAATATAGCTGACCTATTGCATGAAGTATTAGAAAAAAAGACCAAAACTCAAAAACTTAACTTTGACCACTGAACCATGAAAATGAGGTCAAGGTCAGATGACACCTGCCAGCTAGACATGTACACCTTACAATCATTCCATACACCAAATATAGTAGACCTATTGCATACAGTATAAGAAAAACAGACCAAAACACAAAAACTTAACTATAACCACTGAACCATGAAAATGAGGTCAAGGTCAGATGACACCTGCCAGTTGGACATGTACACCTTACAGTCCTTCCATACACCGAATATACTAGACCTATTGCTTATAGTATCTGAGATATGGACTTGACCACGAAAACTTAACCTTGTTCACTGATCCATGAAATGAGGTCGAGGTCAAGTGAAAACTGTCTGACGGGCATGAGGACCTTGCAAGGTACGCACAAACCAAATATACTTATCCTATTACTTATAATAAGAGAGAATTTAACATTACAAAAAATCTGAACTTTTTTTTCAAGTAGTCACTGAACCATGAAAATGAGGTCAAGGACATTGGACATGTGACTGACGGAAACTTCGTAACATGAGGCATCCATATACAAAGTATGAAGCATCCAGGTCTTCCATCTTCTAAAATATAAAGCTTTTAAGAAGTTAGCTAACGCCGCCGCCGCCGCCGTAGCCGCCGCCGCCGCCGCCGCCGGATCGCTATCCCTATGTCGAGCTTTCTGCGACAAAAGTCGCAGGCTCGACAAAAATGAACTTTCATTTTCAGACTTATTTAAGTCAGAAATTGACAGACTTGTTTAGGTCTATTTATGTTTATGAAAAGACTTAATTTTAATCGGTAGCCAAACTGCACCACCTATGACATCCTAAGCCTGTCTTAGAGTTCACAAGGACCTGAGCTATCTATAATTAATTATCTAATTGAACATTTTTACTTAACATAGATTATTTTCCTCATTTTGTGTGATTACAGATGGTTGCATTGTAAAGTTTATAAACAATATCTCCGTTTTTTTAGGCTCTCATGCATATTTTTCCTTAGAAGACAAAGCATTGTCTTTCAAAGTTGTCATAATTTCAAGTAGATGCATGACCTTTTTATAAATATGCTTGGGTCTTGAAGTTTACCAATTTTGGTTACTTATTGACTTGTAGGAGTCAATATTTGCAACTTTTTAATACTTGTCAAAAATTTCTTGCTTAAACACTAATTGACTTATTGAAGTCATAATTTGTCTTAAATTAAAGGGAGATAAATCTTGAAACCTTCAAATTTAGACCTCAATGAGTCAAAAGCAGATTTAGACTTATTTATGTCTGAGCTCTGACTGCTAAAAACATTGCATTTATATAATTTTCACAAGATTTGTAAAATATGTAAAATCATACCACATCTCCTTTTTTTTACTTTGGAAGATAGTTGTCTCATAGGTAATTATACCACATCTCCTTATTTTTACTACGGTAGATCTTCTTATTTTTACTTTGGCGGATAGTTCTCATTGGCAATCATACCACATCTCCTTATTTTTACTTTGGAAGATAGTTGTCTCATTGGCAATTACTAGTATACCACATCTCCTTATTTTTACTTTGGCGGATAGTTGTCTCATTGGCAACATACCACATCTCCTTATTTTTACTTTGGAAGATAGTTGTCTCATAGGTAATTATACCACATCTCCTTATTTTTACTACAGTATATCTTCTTATTTTTACTTTGGCGGATAGTTCTCATTGGCAATCATACCACATCTCCTTATTTTTACTTTGGAAGATAGTTGTCGCATAGGTAATTATACCACATATCCTTATTTTTACTACAGTAGATCTTCCTATTTTTACTTTGGCGGATAGTTCTCATTGGCAATCATACCACATCTCCTTATTTTTACTTTGGAAGATAGTTGTCTCATTGGCAATTACTAGTATACCACATCTCCTTATTTTTACTTTGGCGGATAGTTGTCTCATTGGCAACATACCACATCTCCTTATTTTTACTTTGGAAGATAGTTGTCTCATAGGTAATTATACCACATCTCCTTATTTTTACTACAGTATATCTTCTTATTTTTACTTTGGCGGATAGTTCTCATTGGCAATCATACCACATCTCCTTATTTTTACTTTGGAAGATAGTTGTCGCATAGGTAATTATACCACATATCCTTATTTTTACTACAGTAGATCTTCCTATTTTTACTTTGGCGGATAGTTCTCATTGGCAATCATACCACATCTCCTTATTTTTACTTTGGAAGATAGTTGTCTCATTGGCAATTACTAGTATACCACATCTCCTTATTTTTACTTTGGCGGATAGTTGTCTCATTGGCAACATACCACATCTCCTCATTTTTACTCTGGTGAATTGTTCTTATTGGCAATCATATCACATCTCCTTATTTTTACTTTGGAAGATTGTTGTCTCATTGGCAAATACACCACATCTCCTTATTTTTACTATAGCAGATCTTCTTATTTTACTTTGGCGGATAGTTCTCATTGGCAACCAAACCACATCTCCTTATTTTTATTTTGGAAGATAGTTGTCTCATTGGCAATCATACCACACCTCCTTTTTTTTCCATTGGCGGATAGTTGTCTCATTGGCAATCATACCACATCTCTTTATTTTTACTTTGGCAGATAATTCTTATTGGCAATCATACCACATCACCTTATTTTTACTTTGCAAAATAGTTGTCTCACTGGCAATCATACCACATCTATTTATTTTTACTTTGGCGGATAGTTCTCATTGGCAATCATACCACCTCTCTTTATACTTTGGCGGATAGTTGTCTCATTGGCAATCATACCACCTCTCTTTATACTTTGGCGGATAGTTGTCTCATTGGCAATCATACCACCTCTCTTTATACTTTGGTGGATAGTTGTCTCATTGGCAATCATACCACCTCTCTTTATACTTTGGTGGATAGTTGTCTCATTGGCAATCATACCACCTCTCTTTATACTTTGGCGGATAGTTCTCATTGGCAATCATACCACCTCTCTTTATACTTTGGCGGATAGTTGTCTCATTGGCAATCATACCACATCTCTTTATACTTTGGCGGATAGTTGTCTCATTGGCAATATACCACCTCTCTTTATACTTTGGTGGATAGTTGTCTCATTGGCAATCATACCACCTCTCTTTATACTTTGGCGGATAGTTCTCATTGGCAATCATACCACCTCTCTTTATACTTTGGTGGATAGTTGTCTCATTGGCAATCATACCACCTCTCTTTATACTTTGGCGGATAGTTGTCTCATTTGCAATCATACCTACATCTCCTTATTTTTATATCAATAATAATACCAACTAACAAATACTAAACAGTCAGAGCTCCGACATAAACAAGTTGATTTTTGTTTTTGACTTGCATAAGTCAAAAAATATATTTATTATAAAAATGAACTTTCATTTTCAGACTTATTTAATTCAGAAATTGACAGACTTGTTTAGGTCTATTTATGTTTATGAAAAGACTTAATTTTAATCGGTAGCCAAACTGCACCACCTATGACATCCTAAGCCTGTCTGAGAGTTCACAAGGACCTGAGCTATCTATAATTAATTATCTAATTGAACATTTTTACTTAACATAGATTATTTTCCTCATTTTGTGTGATTACAGATGGTTGCATTGTAAAGTTTATAAACATTATCTCCGTTTTTTTAGGCTCTCATGCATATTTTTCCTTAGAAGACAAAGCATTGTCTTTCAAAGTTGTCATAATTTCAAGTAGATGCATGACCTTTTTATAAATATGCTTGGGTCTTGAAGTTTACCAATTTTGGTTACTTATTGACTTGTAGGAGTCAATATTTGCAACTTTTTAATACTTGTCAAAAATTTCTTGCTTAAACACTAATTGACTTATTGAAGTCCTAATTTGTCTTAAATTAAAGGGAGATAAATCTTGAAACCTTCAAATTTAGACCTCAATGAGTCAAAAGCAGATTTAGACTTATTTATGTCTGAGCTCTGACTGCTAAAAACATTGCATTTATATAATTTTCACAGATTTGTAAAATATGTAAAATCATACCACATCTCCTTTTTTTTACTTTGGAAGATAGTTGTCTCATAGGTAATTATACCACATCTCCTTATTTTTACTACGGTAGATCTTCTTATTTTTACTTTGGCGGATAGTTCTCATTGGCAATCATACCACATCTCCTTATTTTTACTTTGGAAGATAGTTGTCTCATTGGCAATTACTAGTATACCACATCTCCTTATTTTTACTTTGGCGGATAGTTGTCTCATTGGCAACATACCACATCTCCTTATTTTTACTTTGGAAGATAGTTGTCTCATAGGTGATTATACCACATCTCCTTATTTTTACTACAGTATATCTTCTTATTTTTACTTTGGCGGATAGTTCTCATTGGCAATCATACCACATCTCCTTATTTTTACTTTGGAAGATAGTTGTCGCATAGGTAATTATACCACATATCCTTATTTTTACTACAGTAGATCTTCCTATTTTTACTTTGGCGGATAGTTCTCATTGGCAATCATACCACATCTCCTTATTTTTACTTTGGAAGATAGTTGTCTCATTGGCAATTACTAGTATACCACATCTCCTTATTTTTACTTTGCAAAATAGTTGTCTCACTGGCAATCATACCACATCTATTTATTTTTACTTTGGCGGATAGTTCTTATTGGTAATCATACCACCTCTCTTTATACTTTGGCGGATAGTTGTCTCATTTGCAATTATACTACATCTCCTTATTTTTATATCAATGATAATACTAACTAACAAATACTAAAAACTTTGCATTTATATAATTTTCACCGATTTGTAAAATATGTAAAATCATACCACATCTCCTTATTTTTTAATTTGGCGGATAGTTCTCATTGACCATGTTGACAATCATACCACATCTCCTTATTTTTATATAACCATGATAACCATGCAATATAAACATTGACAAATGAACCATGAAAATAAGATAACGTTCGTATAAACCATGCGGATAGACAAACATGTTTACCTTACAAGCATACCATAAACCAAAATACAGCTGATCTATTGCTTATAGTATCTGAGAACCTGACCAAACCACTAAAACTTAACTCTGACCAATGAACCATGAAAATAAGATCTGAAAAGCCTGCCAGACAAACATTCTGAACATTTCTGCATGTCAGAATTTCTCGACCTATAGCAGTTTTCAAGATAATAGACAAAACTTGCATTCTACCCATAAATTCTATTTTGAGCCATGTCGGCCATGTTGTTTAGCAGGGGGAAAAGAAGGGGGGTGGTATAGGAATGCACTTTTTAATTAACACCGAAATGCATAAAATTTTAATTGATTACTTAATAAAATTGTTAAGGCTTTGTCTAAAATAACCACCACACATCAAATTTGAAAGAAAGTCAATGCCACTCCCATGGAAAAGCCCTAAGCAATTTCATTGGATGCCGATTTTAAATCAAGTATAAACCTTTTTTTTTAAATCTGATAATAAAGGGATTTTCCATTATAAATGTTTTATCAGAGGGATATATATAGTTCACAAATAATGTACACTTACCTATAATAACAACTTGACTGGACGAGAGTCACATTGACTGGACGAGGGTCACATTGACTGGACGAGGATCACATTGACTGGACAAGGGTCTATAAATAAATATCAATAATAGATGTTCAATCTAGAAATAGAAATGTTTGTATTAAAGTAGAAATAATAACATGTAATAAAGACTCAATGAATACCATTTTGACATCTCTCATTGATAGGTTGCTGTCTGTTTGATACAGACCTCCTAGGATTCTGACTAAGGACTTTTGTAGGCAAGTCCAGGGAATCATCATTGATTGGTTGCTGTCTGATTGACATTGACCTCCTAGGATTCTGACTAAGGACTTTTGTAGGCAAGTCCAGGGAATCGTCATTGATTGGTTGCTGTCTGATTGACATAGACCTCCTAGGATTCTGACTAAGGACTTTTGTAGGCAAGTCCAGGGAATCATCATTGATTGGTTGCTGTCTGATTGACATAGACCTCCTAGGATTCTGACTAAGGACTTTTGTACACAAGTCCAGGGAATCGTCATTGATTGGTTGCTGTCTGATTGACATAGACCTCCTAGGATTCTGACTAAGGACTTTTGAAGGCAAGTCCAGGGAATCGTCATTGATTGGTTGCTGTCTGATTGACATAGACCTCCTAGGATTCTGACTAAGGACTTTTGTAGGCAAGTCCAGGGAATCATCATTGATTGGTTGCTGTCTGATTGACATTGACCTCCTAGGATTCTGACTAAGGACTTTTGTAGGCAAGTCCAGGGAATCGTCATTGATTGGTTGCTGTCTGATTGACATAGACCTCCTAGGATTCTGACTAAGGACTTTTGTAGGCAAGTCCAGGGAATCATCATTGATTGGTTGCTGTCTGATTGACATAGACCTCCTAGGATTCTGACTAAGGACTTTTGTACACAAGTCCAGGGAATCGTCATTGATTGGTTGCTGTCTGATTGACATAGACCTCCTAGGATTCTGACTAAGGACTTTTGAAGGCAAGTCCAGGGAATCGTCATTGATTGGTTGCTGTCTGATTGACATAGACCTCCTAGGATTCTGACTAAGGACTTTTGTAGGCAAGTCCAGGGAATCGTCATTGATTGGTTGCTGTCTGATTGACATAGACCTAGGATTCTGACTAAGGACTTTTGAAGGCAAGTCCAGGGAATCGTCATTGATTGGTTGCTGTCTGATTGACATAGACCTCCTAGGATTCTGACTAAGGACTTTTGTAGGCAAGTCCAGGGAATCGTCATTGATTGGTTGCTGTCTGATTGACATAGACCTCCTAGGATTCTGACTAAGGACTTTTGTACACAAGTCCAGGGAATCGTCATTGATTGGTTGCTGTCTGATTGACATAGACCTCCTAGGATTCTGACTAAGGACTTTTGAAGGCAAGTCCAGGGAATCGTCATTGATTGGTTGCTGTCTGATTGACATAGACCTAGGATTCTGACTAAGGACTTTTGTAGGCAAGTCCAGGGAATCATCATTGATTGGTTGCTGTCTGATTGACATAGACCTCCTAGGATTCTGACTTAGGACTCTTGAAGGGGAGTCCAGGGAATTGTCATTTATGACCTTGGCGATTTCAACAGTGAAAATAAATTTCATTGCTACATAATCATTGCTTTAGTCTATATGATAAAATAGAGAAAGGAAATGACATCAAATTTTATTATTTTTAAACATTTGCTATAAAATGATATGATTATATGCATGCTTAGTTGATACAATATTTTATGATCCTTATGCATCTTTAGATTCATCTGTTTTGAAAATGATGAGTCCAGACAGATATTCATGAGTCCATGACTCATTGACTGCCTTATTGAGATCACTGTCTCCCATCTTTCAGCTGATTTCTTAGTTAACAACTCTATCGTTATATACAATTCCAATTTTTATGATTGCAATGTTTTATCAGTTTTTTACTCTTAAATGCAATTAAATATGTAATTACTTCATGTTATTTTTGTATACAAGTTGCAGAGTGAAAAATGTTAATCCTGTAAAAAAAGAATTAAAAAGCACTGGACTGGTGTAATGCTACTTACTAGAATGAACCATGCAGCTAGTTCTTGATTATCTCCCCTTTTAGACTTTTAATATTCACATGAAACATTGTAGTTTATTTGATAAACCAAATTATTAAACATTCCAATCCAATTTGACTATTATCATGATTATGTTCACTTACCTATAGTAATAAAATTGACTGGTCCTTGAATAGATAAATAAAAATAGATCTTCAAACTGAAAGTATAAAATAGATCAAATTTAGTTTACATCACATTTATCTAAATATTGGTTAAACTTTCTCTGAATTTGTATATAATTGTCATAAATGAAAAAAGAAGGGTCTATTAAAACTTTCCATAGTTCCATAAAACGCTCAGTATAAGAGTTTTTAGGATAATTCATAATAGCATGGAAAAATTAAAACAAGAGTGCACACGCTGAAATGTCTCGCCTGAATTATAGACCGCTGATTTTATGTTGAATGTCTAAAGATAAAGGCATAACTAAAAAACATCACAGAAACTCAGGTCAGATAAATGCTGTCAGACAGACATATACACCTTACAATTTTTTATACACAAAATATAGTTGACCTATTGTTTATGATAATTGAAAAACAGACCAAAACAAACAAAAAATTTATCATTGACCATGAAACATGAAAATGAGGTCAAGGTCAGATGATACCTGCCAGACAGACATATACAGCTTAAAACCATTCCATACGCCAAATATAGTTGAAATATTTCTTAAAGTACTTGAAAAACAGACCAAAGCACAAAACTTAACATATACCAATGAACCATGAAAATGACGTCAAGGTCAGATAATACCTGCCAGACAAACATATATACCTTACAACCATTCCATACACCAAATATAGTTGACCTATTGCTTACGATAATTGAAAAACAGACCAAACACAAGAAACTTAACATTGACAATGAACAATGAAAATAATGTCAAGGTCAGATGATACCTGCCAGACAATAATCAAGCTTGATACTGTCTGAATTTGGATTGTGATCAAATTTTTGACATAATATAGGTTTCTGAAATAAATAAATGTGGTCAACGATCTTAAAATTTTGAAAAGGGACATTTAATTTACCTAGTATGGTCTGATATCCAAAATCTAACAACGTGGTTAGATGCAGCAAATAGAAAAAACACCAAAAATTTAATTTTAATCAAACAATGTCTAATTTTGGACAATTCAAACCTTAATGTGGACTAATTTGAAAACAGGGCCCAAAATAAAAAATCTAAATGTGTTGCTTTTATATATAAATCAGAAATAACCAATGTAAAAATGGAAAATTTTTTCGGAAAAAAAATATCCCACCAAAACATGGCCCATAAAAAATTTTCAAAAATTTGAAATTCTAAAAAATCTTGAATAAAAAAGGAATGTACCCCCAAAAAAAAGATAGAAAAAAGAAAATCCCCCTAAAAAAATTTTCAAAAATTTTGTAATTTCAAAATTTTTTAGGAAAACAAGAGTGCACACACTGAAATGTCTCGCCTTCTTTACTAACCATTGATTTTATGTTGATAGTCCTAAATATAAAGCTTTACTACAAGTAACACATAAACTTAACATGATCCAAGAAAATGAGGTCAAGGTCAGATAAACCAAACGAGAAATACATGTACACCTTACAATCATTCAATAAACCAAACATAGTTGACCTATTGCTTATAGTTTCTAAGAAACAATCTTAACCAAGAAAACTAAATATTGACCAATGAACCATGAAAATGAGGTCAAGGTCAGATGATACCTGCCAGACAGACATATACACCTTACAATCCTTCCATACAACAAATATAGTTGATCTATTGCTTATAGTTGAAGAAAAACAGACCAAAACACAACAAGAGTGCACACGCTGAAATGTCTCGCCTTCTTTACTAATCATTGATATTATGTTGATAGTCCTAAATATAAAGCTTTATTACAACTGTCACATAAACTTAACATTAACCAAGTAAACTAAACATTGACCAATGAACCATGAAAATGAGGTCAAGGTCAGATGAACCATGCTAGGCAGGCATGTACAGCTAACAATTCTTCCATACAACAAATATAGTTGACCTATTGCTTATAGTTTAAGAAAAACAGACGAAAACACAAAAACTTAACACTGAGCAATGAACCTTGAAAATGAGGTCAAGGTCAAATAAAACCTGCGTAACTGGCATATAGATCATAAAATACTTCCATACACCAAATATAGTTGAACTATTGCATATAGTATTAGAAAAAAAGACCAAAACTCAAAAACTTAACTTTGACCACTGAACCATGAAAATGAGGTCAAGGTAAGATGACACCTGCCAGCTAGACATGTACACCTTACAATCATTCCATACACCAAATATAGCTGACCTATTGCATGCAGTATTAGAAAGAAAGACCAAAACTCAAAAACTTAACTTTGACCACTGAACCATGAAAATGAGGTCAAGGTCAGATGACACCTGCCAGCTAGACATGTACACCTTACAATCATTCCATACACCAAATATAGTAGACCTATTGCATACAGTATAAGAAAAACAGACCAAAACACAAAAACTTAACTATAACCACTGAACCATGAAAATGAGGTCAAGGTCAGATGACACCTGCCAGTTGGACATGTACACCTTACAGTCCTTCCATACACCGAATATACTAGACCTATTGCTTATAGTATCTGAGATATGGACTTGACCACGAAAACTTAACCTTGTTCACTGATCCATGAAATGAGGTCGAGGTCAAGTGAAAACTGTCTGACGGGCATGAGGACCTTGCAAGGTATGCACATACCAAATATAGTTATCCTATTACTTATAATAAGAGAGAATTTAACATTACAAAAAATCTGAACTTTTTTTTCAAGTAGTCACTGAACCATGAAAATGAGGTCAAGGACATTGGACATGTGACTGACGGAAACTTCGTAACATGAGGCATCCATATGCAAAGTATGAAGCATCCAGGTCTTCCATCTTCTAAAATATAAAGCTTTTAAGAAGTTAGCTAACGCCGCCGCCGCCGGATCGCTATCCCTATGTCGAGCTTTCTGCGACAAAAGTCACAGGCTCGACAAAAACTAAACACTGAGAAATGAACCGTGGAAATGAGGTCAAGGTCAAATAAAACCTGCGAGACTGACATGTCCATCATAAAATATTTCCATACACCAAATATAGTTGACCTATTGCATATAGAATTAGAAAAAAGGACAAAAACTCAAAAACTTAACTTTGACCACTGAACCATGAAAATGAGGTCAAGGTCAGATGACATCTACCAGTTGGACATGTACACCTTACAATCATTCCATATACCAAATATAGTAGCCCTACTGCTTATAGTATCTGATATATGGACTTGACCACGAAAACTTAACCTTGTTCACTGATCCATGAAATAAGGTCGAGGTCAAATGAAAATTGTCTGACGGGCATGAGGACCTTGCAAGGTACGTACATACTAAATATAGTTGACCTATTGTATATAGTATTAGAAAAAAAGACCAAAACTCAAAAACTTAACTTTGACCACTGAACCATGAAAATGAGGTCAAGGTCAGATGACACCTGCCAGTTGGACATGTACACCTTTCAATCATTCCATATACCAAATATAGAAGACCTACTGCTTATAGTATCTGATATATGGACTTGACCACGAAAACTTAACCTTGTTCACTGATCCATGATATGAGGTTGAGGTCAAATGAAAATTGTCTGACGGGCATGAGGACCTTGCAAGGTATGCACATACTAAATATAGTTATCCTATTACTCATAATAAGAAAGAAATTAACATTACAAAAAATTATGACTTTTTTTTCAAGTAGTCACTGAACCATGAAAATGAGGTCAAGGACAATGGACATATGACAGACGGAAACTTCGTAACATAAGGCATCTATATACAAAGTATGAAGCATCCAGGTCTTCTAGCTTCTAAAATATAAAGCTTTTAAGAAGTTAGCTAACGCCGCCGCCGCCGCATCACTATCCCTATGTCTAGCTTTCTGCGACAAAAGTCGCAGGCTCGACAAAAATATGAAAAAAATCCCCCCAAACTTTTTGAACCCCTATTCTGGTCTTGTCACTCTACCTTAATATTCAGACTATCTCTACTGGGAGTCATTCTGGTCATGTCACTCTAACGTTAACAGTCAGACTATCTCTACTGGGAGTCATTCTGGTCATGTCACTCTAACGTTAACAGTCAGACTATCTCTACTGGGAGTCAATCTGGTCATGTCGCTCTAACATTAGCTAGACTATCTCTACTGGGAGTCATTCTAATCAAGTCTCTCTAACGTTAATAGCCACACTATCTCTACTGGGAGTCATTCTGGTCATGTCGCTCTAACATTAATAGCCAGACTATCTCTACTGGGAGTCATTCTGGTCATGTCGCTCTAACGTTAATAGCCAGACTATCTTTACTGGGAGTCATTCTGGTCATGTCACTCTAACGTTAATAGCCACACTATCTCTACTGGGAGTCATTCTGGTCATGTCACTCTAACATTAATAGCCAGACTATCTCTACTGGGAGTCATTCTGGTCATGTCGCTCTAACGTTAATAGCCAGACTATCTCTACTGGGAGTCATTCTGGTCATGTCACTCTAACATTAATAGCCAGGCTATCTCAACTCATGCTACTGGGAGTCATTCTGGTCATGTCACTCTAACGTTAATAGCCAGACTATCTCTACTGGGAGTCATTCTGGTCATGTCGCTTTAATGTTCATAGCCAGGCTATATCTACTGGGAGTCATTCTGGTCATGTCACTCTATAAATGTTATTAGCCAGACTTTCCTACTGGGAGTCATTCTGGTCATGTCGCTTTAATGTTAATAGCCAGACTATATCTACTGGGAGTCATTCTGGTCATGTCACTCTATAAATGTTATTAGTCAGACTATATCTACTGGCTGTCATTTTGTGTCATGTCACTCTAACGTTAAAAGTCAGACTATCTCTAGTGGGAGTCATTCTGGTCATGTCACTCTAATGTTGATAGCCAGACTATCTCTACAGGGAGTCATTCTGATCATGTCACTCTAACGTTAATAGTCAGACTATCTCTACTGGGAGTCATTCTGGTCATGTCACTCTAACGTTAATAGTCAGACTATCTCTACTGGGAGTCATTCTGGTCATGTCACTCTATAAATGTTAATAGTCAGACTATCTCTACTGGGAGTCAT